GGTAGACAGTGATGGTGATATTTATTAAACTTCCTGAAGGCAACAACAGTGTCATTTTATGTTCCTCCCTACCCAAGTACACAGTGCCAGGCACCCGGCAGGTCTGTGGCTGTTGTGTCAACATTCTCCAGTCACTGTGCTGGTGTTTGCTGGCAAGGCCCCAAACTGCCTCTCCTCTGAGGATACCTCTCTGGGGTTAGGGGTTCTGGCTCGCCTCCCACCCCCGGACCCAGCTGCCTGCCTTGGGTGCTGCGACACAGCACCTCTGGCCCATAGATTTGCCAGCTCCTCACCACAGCTTCAAGAGGGAGCCCCTGGCACAGGAACAAGGCGGGTGGGGAGCTGAGCCTCGGGCTAGACCAGGGCCCCAACACCCACCTGAAACGGGCCTTTGCTTCTAGCAGCTGCTCCTCAATGCTTAGCTGCCTCCCACCACCCTGCTCCCTTCCTCATGAGCTCACTCAAACTGATACCAATGAAATCCCTAGGTGGAGGGAGATTCCATTAACATCTTAACCCCAACCACTTAGTCGGCTCTGGAAACAGCAAGGCAAAAAGAATTTCAGGGCCAACTCCTGGAGCCTCAAGGGCTGGCTCTCCCAACGTAACTGTTAATGGCACACATCTGTACAAACATGTCAGCTCACCACGCACTTCTACACCAACTCATTTCTGCCTCACCGTGGGGATTACTGTCCCTATTTTGCAGACAAGGAGACTGACATTATTCAGCTGTGTAGTAAAGGAACCAGGTCTCAATCCCAGAGGTCTGGGCTCCGGATCCAGTGTTGCTTATACCACTGTACCTCAGTGTACAAATGAGCCCATGTGGATGATGGCTAATTGATTGTGCTAGATTATAATTATGTCTGTTCTCCTGTGGGCAAGGATGAGGTTAGATTCATTTTTATGTCCTGGGAGCTGAGCACTGGGCCTGGCACACAGTAGGTACTACAGGAAGATATATCAGGCATTTAGAATACGACCACCTTACCCAAGGACACGCAGCCTTTCCAGTGCCTCCCCAACTATTATCTGTTCAGTCACCCTGCAAGGTCAGCAGGTCAGATGGCATCCTACCTATATAATATTTTACAGCTGCATAAAGAGACACAGGGAGGTTCAGCGACCTGTGTAGAGTCACACAGCCATGGAAGCCAGGGGCTGGACTCAGGATCTGGATAATGTGACATCCAGTGCCCGGCCTCCTCCCTGACATCATCCCTGGTGCAGATGGGCCATGGGGGCCAATAAAACCCCAGGAAGATAATCTACAGGGAAACAGGCAAGGCTCCCAATACTACTTTCTCCTTCCAGCGTATCTTCTTCCTGAAGCTTTTCAAGTTCCCTTCGGTCTGAGGAAACATGTGTGGACACATGGGGAGGCAGTCTGGGGCACAGAAAATAGGTTTTGCAGCCAGGCAGAAAGGGTTCCAAGCCCACAGTGCCTCACCCACCATGAGGCTTGCGTGTGCCCTCTCCCCTGAGTCTGAGTCTTTATCTGTGATGTGGCAGGACTCCTAGCACTCCTCCCAGCAAGTCACTGGGACGATAACATGAGAAAGAGTGAAGACTCAGCCTCAGGCCTGGCACACATTGGCGCTCACTGCATGTTGGTTCTTGCCCCCTAATGGGTGATGTCAGGGGCCTGGAAAGAAAAAGGAGCTGAGACACCAGCAGATCCAAAGGCCTGGCAGGGGCAGAGGATAAAGAATCTAAAATGCATCCCCTGAGGTCTCCATCCAGGGCCCCCCTGGTGCTATAAGTGCTGACTGGGATGTACCAGGAATTTGGGATGAGGGTTTGGAAAGTCACAGAGGCCAAAGCAGGCTGAAGTAGTGTCCCCTGTGATAGAATGAGGACAGAATGAGAATCAGCAGCTACCCCTGGGTGGATGGGTCACTGTCTTCCCCCTCCTTCACCCCCTAAGCTGGGCAGTCAACCCCCTGCCCAAGTTGGGCTCAGAAGGCCTCCTGGCCTGGACTGTTGCAACAGCCTTCCTGGTTACCTGACTCCAATGGCCAGCCTTGCTGGGTGCCGAAGTACAATCTCAACAGAAGATGAGACCCCACCACTGCTCTCTGTTTAAAACCCACCACATAAAGACAGTTTGCCCGTCTAGAGGTCTATCTTGCTCTGAGGTCCCTACGCCTTTGCACAGGCTGTTCCCTCTGATGAAGATGACAGAGATGGCCTCTCACTCATTCAATTCCAAAGCCAACTCCTCTGTGAGGCCTTCCCAGTCTAACCTGACCCTCATCTGGCAAAAGCTTACCCTCCCCTTGAGCCTCTGTGGCCCCTGGGCTGTCCCCTTCAAGGTAAATCACACTTTGTGGTCTGTGGCTATCTCCAAAGCTGACTGTCCAGCTCCTCTCCTATGTGGGGCCTGGCCATGTGAAGGGGGATAAATCACATGAATGAAATGCCCTGCTCAGAAAGCTTCTCTCTGCTTGGAGAGGGTAACAATCGGTCCAAGCTTGCAGGATACTAAGGGCTTTGCCAGGTGGTGAAAGCAGGTGTTGGACCATAGTAGATGCTATCTCTGCCCTCCACTGTCAGTGCAACCCAAGAAATGTCTGCACAATGTAACACAGACTACACACTTCTTCTCGTTTTCTTAGCTCATGTAATTAATTATCCTAGTGAACATTCACAACAGATCAATGAGACAGGAATTCCTGGCCTCATTTGAAGGATGAGGAGACTGAGAGTCAGAGAGGTCAAGTTACTTGCCCAAGGCCACAGTGCTAGGAAACAATGGAGTAGGAATAAACTTCAGGTCCTTCAGATTCTAAAAGGCTGGAGTACACACCCACCTCCAGATTGGTCTCCCAGTCTCCAGCACCATCCACAAGCCAGAGGAAGACTTCTTAAATTATCAATCTCATACTGTCATGTCTGTTTAAATCCTCCAGCAGCTCTCTACTACCTACAGGTTCAAATACCAGCTCCTAGGCCTGGCATTCAAGGTCTTCATATTTGCCCCCTATCATCCCACTCAGCCTCAAGCTGAATTCTAATACCCCCACTCCCCATCTGATGGTCCACAATGCCAACCACTTCTGGGCTGTTATCAGAACACATACAGCCATGCAATGCTGTTCCCTCTGTGGGAGACACTTTCTGTCTCCAGAGGGTATTCACCTGATTTCTCCAGGCTGTTGCATTCCAGCCTTCCCTTCCTGGACTGCAGGGGCTCCTGGCCCACCTCACTTCATCCCTCCCTAACTTCAAAGCCAACTCCCACCTCCCCCCACCTCCCTTTAAAAGAGCAAATTAGTATCTGGGAATTGGTCACATCAGAATGGAGGTGTGTGTGAATTATCAAAGTTTGTAGGTTCTGGGGTCTCAACCAGTCAGCCAGAACAGGAATGGAGAGAGGCTTTCCAGAGGGGAAACGGAGGCCCGGAGAGGGAAAGAAAAGTGCCCACAGTGGCCTCCTTCCCAGGTGAATGGCTTGTGCACCTCCTTCCAGTCTGTAGCATCTGGCAAAATTCTAGGTCTAAGACTGGGGCAAGGTGATAGCGAGGGGTGGGAAAAGTGGATTATCTTTGCAACTCAGTATCAAAAGCCCAGCCGGCTCCCGCCGCCAGAGCCTTCCCTCTCGGGTCAGGGGTGGGTTCTGCAAGCCTGGACTTCTAGGAAGGGTAGGTAGAGCAGGCAGGGAGGACGAATCGGAAAGGTTCCTGAGTCACATCGCCTGGGCCAAGCGTGGGCGGGCACTGCTCTCAGGCCGGCTCTTGAAAGCGGCACAGGTGATCCCCACCGCACGTTAGGCGCCGCGAGGGAGTTCTCAGCCCCATTCATAACAGGCTGAGCCACTTGCCCAGTGCTGTGCTGTGGGCCAGTGGCTGGCCCATTCGTAACCAGTATGTGCAAGGTCCCTATTCTCCGCAGTCCAGCTGGGGTTCCTGGGGCCAAAGCCGCGGACAGGCCCGGATCCCTAAGAACCGTCGCTTTCTCACCTATGGGATCAGAGGGCTGGTCCCCCCACCCTGGAGGCGGGATGCAAACCGTGAGCGGATCTCAAAGCGGAGCCGAGGCTGGGGCTGGCCTCTCTGCTCAACAGACACGTCTCTCTCGATCACATACACTCTCTCCGAGAAGCGCGGGGTGGGCAGTGCCGGCTCTCCGCTCCTCTCCACTCTCCAGTTCCCGACCGGGGCCCAGGAGCTGCTGCTTTCCCTCTCTCCCCCTAGCTGATTCGGCGCGGTGTCCGGCACGTTCCGCCCGGCCTGACCCAGACCGGTCCCCACGCACTGCCGACACCCCCCCCCGCCCCTTCACGATCCCCCGCCAGCCTTATCCCATCCCCTCACAACTTTAAGGACCCCAGGAGACGAAAGAGGGTAGAGCTGCCAGCACCCCCTGCCCAGGCTGCAGCGGAGAAGGCCGGGCTGCTGCTGGAGGAACCGGGCGAAAAGTTTGAAACCAAGTCGGGGGCCTGAGTGGGCAGCAGGGGAGCGAGGAGTTGGGGCGGTGTCTGGCTCTCGGCGCGCACACACACCACGGACACCCAACCCAGACACGTCGACAGGCACAGAACACGTACGCGGGCACACAACCATGCGCCCACCAACACCCACAACCAAACGCGGGCCCACAAAACGTGGACACCGGCGCGGAACAGCCACGCAAAGCCATGGACACACAAAGGCGCAGGCAGATGTACGTCCCTGGACCCAAATCCACAAAGACCCACAAACGTGAGCTGCACGTGTCCGCACAAAGACCCCAGAGGCTCGGGCCCACGCCCCCGGCCCGAGCCTTTGTCTCCTGGAAGCCCTCTCCCCTAGGTTCGGGCTCCTTACTCCGGCCGAACCCGGGGAGTCCGGGGGCCGCTGCCGATACCCTGGGTTCAGGAAAAGTTGAAAGGCCCCGTCCCCGCCCCTGTGTCCAGCGCCGCCCGCCGGCCGGACAGGGCCGCCAGGCTGGGGTTGGGGGCTTCGGACCTTCGCTCGCAGCGCGGACTCCTGCTCCGCCCGGGGACCCACACCCACCTGGAAGCCTGCGCCGCCGCCGCCTCGGCACGCTCACCCAGGCGGCCCGGCTGCGGGCCCACGGGCCGGCGCTTTTCTCAGTACCGCGCGACCCGCCCCCTGGTCCCCGCCCGACGCCGGGCGAACCCCCCGCCCGCTCGACGCCCGTGGCGGCTTCGCCGGCTGCCCGCAGACTTAGGGAATGTCGCCAAAGTGTCTGCCTTTCCTGGCGCTCTCCCCGCCCCCCACCCGCCCGCAGAGCCCGCGCAGAGCCCGGTTCCACCCTAGGGAGCGTCTCAAAAGTGCGCGTGCAGCTCTCACCCACTCGGCGGGCTCGCTCACAGCTTCCGGCAATCCGGATCCCTGCCCCCTCCCTGGAGCGCCTGAGCAATCTCAGCAGATGGCTACATGGTCGGGAACATCTGGAGGTCGCTGGAGTGCGTGCGTGCGTGTGTGTGTGTGTGTGTGTGTGTGTGTGTGTGTGTGTGTGTGTGTGTGACAGAGGAGAGGAGGAGTTGGTAAGAAAGAGATTGGGTGGGTGAGGCTTTCAACTTCTGGAGTTTATTCCCCCCCTTTTTTTTAACCAGGTGAAAGCGGTCCAAAAGTATTGATAGTTGGTCAAATAGCCGGAGCCTGCAGCTAGGGAGAACAGCCTCGAGCTACATCCATTCTCTTTGGGAGTGTTCTCCCTTGGTGCATCAAGTTTTCACTTGAATAAACCTTTCTCTTTGTAAAACTGTTTCACCTACTCTCTTGATTTCTATCCAGAGAAGGGCAAGGACCCCTACACCCATAATACAGAGACGTTAGTGAGATCAAAATCCCAAGCAGAGAGAGACTAGCTGAAAGATGAACCAGCAGAGAAACAAGAGAGAACTGGATTTGGGCAGAAAAGTTGGCAGGAGTGAAGAGAGAAAGCAACAGACTTATATTTTCTGGAGGGGATCATCGAACTTCTGATTGGGATTCTAAGAAGGGAAACTGTGTGTCTACTCCTCTCTGCAGCCCACCCTCTGTCACCCCTCTTTATGGTGAAAAGGGCAGGAAAGCATAAAAAAAACACTTTAAAATGAGGGGTTGGGGGAGAAATTGCTTGGTGGATGCAGTCCCTACAGGACAGGTGGAGGTGAGACTTTGACTCTTCCAGTCTACAGACAGGAGGAGGGAGAGGCATGGGGTTGGGGGGATGGGTTGTTGAGGGAGGTTTTGGTCTTAAACTCTGGAACTCCCAGGAACTCCCCTGCTGTGCAGAGATTAGACAGTGTTTCCCCTACAGTGGCCCAGGCTTGCACACCCATTACTTTTTTTTTTTAATTACAAGTGTTGCTTGGGCTTGTGTGTTTGTGTCTGCTGTCTGTCTGGGGAAGGAAGGAGACACTAGGGAAATGGGTAGGGAGAAGTAGAAGCAATTACCCCAAGCCTCAAGGCAACAAAATCAAATCTGCCCAGAGAACAAAATGTTCTTGCAAGTCCTCCCCCTGCATTCAAAGTCCCCGTGTGATGACTCCATTCACCTGGGCTGAGACTCGTGGACCCTGCCTGTTGACCCTGCTACTTAGGGAGGTGCAGGGAGAAGGCTGGGAGCCTGGTCTTACCAGTATGGGACCAGGAGAGCTCCCCTTTCTCCTCTCTGCCCATCGTCCTCTCCCAATTAGAATCCCAGTTTACAGAACTGGGAGGCCACCCAGCTGAGACTTCTCATCAAACAGCCTTTGAAATTGTACCATAGACCCCTTTGCATCCAGTCACCTCCTCACAACAAGCTGAACAAATGGGCTGCTGAGAACCAACTCTGCACTCCCTAAGTGTTTGTTCTCTGTACCCTTAGGAGGAGTCAAAGTGCTTCCTGCAACCCTACCCCCCCCCCCGCCCCCCACTGGCCTAGAGGGGAGAGAGACCAGAAAATCAGTAAAAAACAGCATCTAATGAGGGCCCCAAGCTTGGACAGGGGTCAGATGTCAGCCCTGCTACTTACCAGCTGAGGGTAATCATAGAGAAGTTACCTAACCTAAGAGATTGTTGTAAGGAGTAAACAAAGTAACTTGGTGAAGCATTACTCTAGCTCACAGGAAGCGCCACTGTGTGTTGTTATTGCCATTATTATTATCCAAAGAGGTCTCCTGTCAGGCATGGGGTAGAATCTGGAAAGCCCAGCAAGCTTGGGAGGGGAGGAGACTGGGGAATGGTCACCTGACTCTATCCAGTCTATCCCATTTGCCTGTGCCTCCTCCCCTCTTGTAGGGGAAAGGCTTTCTTTCAAAAGAACCCCCTTTGGCCCTGGCCTAGAGATTTTCAGCTCCTCCCTTGATGTGGAGCTAGGTTTACCTCAGCATCTGAGAAATGGAGATGAATACTTCACATCCCCTAGGGAATCGGGATGCTAACTCCACTGCCCCTTTTATGCAGGATCAGGCCACCTGGGCTGTAGACTCCAGGTCCCTCCAAAGGGCCTCTCACTTGCCATAAGCATGACAAACAACAACCCTTCATACTTGGGTTGGTGGCTGGAGGCAGTTTCTGAGCACCTCTACTTTCATTATATCCCTGATCTGCCCTAACTGGAAGGTAGCCTCCAGGAACATGACAAGGATACCCTCTCTCACCTTTGTTATTCATCATAGTACTGGAAGTCCTAGCCAGCCTAGACTGGAAGTCAATCAAGCAAGAGAAAGAAATAAAAGGCCTCCAAATTGGGAATGAAGAAGTCAAACTGTCACTTTTTGCAGATGACATGATTCTTTATATAAAAAACCCTGAAGACTCCACCAAAAAACTATTAGAAATAATAAGCAAATGCAGTAAAGTTGCAGGATATAAAATCAATGCACAAAAATTTATTACATTCCTATATACTAACAATGAAATTTCAGAAAAAGATGAAAAAACATTCCTTTTGCAATTGCAACAAAAAGAATAAAATATCTAGGGATAAACTTAACAAAGGATGTGAAGGAACTATACACTGAAAACTATAATATAAGATATTATTAAAAGAAACTGAAGAAGATGCAAAGAAATGCAAAGATATTCTGTGTTCATGGATTGGATGAATCAACATAGTTAAAATGTCCATATTACCCAAAGCAATATACAGATTTAATTCAATCCCCATCAAAATCCCAATGGCATTTTTTAAAAAGAAATAGAACAAAAAAATCATCAGATTTGTGTGGAATCACAAAAGACTATGAACAGTCAAAGCAATCCTGAAAAAAAATAACAAGGCCCAAAGTATCACACTCCCTGACTTCAAACTATACTAAAAAGCAACAATAATCAAAGCAGCATAGTATTGACAGAAACACAGATATACAGACCAATAAAACAGAATTGAGAACCCAGAAATAAACCCACATATATACGGGCAAATAATTTTTTACAAAGGAGTCAAAAAACATAAAATGGATAAAAGAAAGCCTCTTCAGTAAATGATGCTGAGAAAATTGAAAAGCCACAAGCAAAAGAATGAAACTAGACTGCTATTTTTCACTGTACACAAAAATTAATTCAAAATGGATCAAATACCTAAATATAAGGCTTGAAATAATAAACTGCATAGAAGAAAATATAGGTACTGAACTTATGTACCTTAAGTTCAGAGAGGATTTTATAAATTTGACCCCAAAGGCAAAGGAAGTAAAAGCAAAAATAAATGAATGGAATTATATCAAACTAAAAAGTTCTGCACAGAAAAAGAAACCATCAACAAAACAAAGAAGCAACCAACCAAATGGGAGAAGATATTTACAAACAACACCTCCAGTGAGGGGCTAATATCCAAAATATATAAAGAATTCATACAACTCAACACAACAAAAAACAAACAATTCAATTAAAAAAGGAGTAGAGGACCTGAACAGGCACTTCTCCCAAGAAGACATATAAACAGCCAACAGATATATGAGAAAATGCTCAACTTCACCAATTATTAGGAAAATGCAAATCAAAACCACAATGAGATACCACCTTACACCTGTTAGAATGGCTATCATCAACAAGACAAATAATAATAAGTCTTGGGGAGGTTGTGGGTGAAAAGGAACCCTCATACGCTGCTGGTAGAAATGTAAATTGATACAGCCACTATGGAAAACAGTATGAAGGTTGCTCAAAAAATTAAGAATAGAATTACTATATAACCCAGCAATCCCTCTTTTGAGTATTAACCCCCCAAATTTGAAAACATTTATCTGCAAAGATATATGTGCCCCTATGTTCATTGGAGCATTATTTACCGTGCCCAAGACATGGACACAAACAAAGTGTCCTTTGATAGATGATTGGAGGTAGGGGCATGGTTGATGGGGGTAAACAGGATCAAATACATGGCAATGGAAGGAGAACTGACTCTGGGTGGTGAACACACAATGTGATATATAGATGATGTATTACAGAAACGTGCACTTGAAACTTACGTAACTTTACTACCCATTGTCACCCTGATAAACTTTAATTAAAAAAAAAAGATGATTGGATAAAGAAGATGTGATGCATATATACAATGGAATGCTACTCAGACATAAGAAAAGATGAAATATTGCGATTTGTGACAACATGGGTAGAGCTTGAGATTATCATGCTAAGTGAAATAAGTCAGATGGAAAAGGACAAGAACCACATGATTTTACTCATCTGTGGGATATAAAACTGAAAGCAATAAATGAACAAGACAAACAAACAAAAACTCATAGACACAGGCAACAGTTTAGTGGTTACCAGAGGGTAAGGGAGAAGAGGGGGAGGTAGAAAAGGGTAAAGGGGGTCAAATATATGGTGATGGAAGGAGATTCGACTTTGGGTGGTGACTACACAATGCAATATATAGATGAGGTATTATAGAATTCTACACTTGAAACCTATATAATTTTATTAACCAATGTCACCCCAATAAATTTAATAAAAAGTGACCTTTCTAAACTGCAAAGCTGCAAAATGGACCACTACATGTGCCTGCTTAAAACCTTTCAATGGCAAAATTCAAATTTCTTGGCTTGGCATTCAAGGCCCATGTGATATGCCCCCTTCACCCTGAGGGGACCAAGAGTGTTGCCTTTTGGGATAATGATTTTAAGCTGCTTATTAAGAAACAAAAGACTCAGAAAGAATCTTTGACCCTCCCTCTTTTCCTG